ACCAAACCATAGTGTTGCCCATAGGTTCCCGACCCTGTGAAGCCAGTTGTTTTTCTCACTGCTGTGTGAGACTGTTTGTTTAGCCGTAGTTAGTCTGAACTACGTAAAGCTCTGATCTTCCATCCAGTGGAAGTACGTAGGCACAAGACGCGAGGTCTTGGCGAGCCAATTTTCCTTGTAGTCCCGAACTACGTTGACTCTGACTTTCTCTCTTGAGAATACGTAGGCATAGAGTGCGACGCTCTATCGAGTCAATTCCCTTCCGTTTAGATTTAGCAGCCGTAGATAGATTGTTTTGCATCCAGTAGACAACCAAGCAAGCGTGGATCCCGTCGAGTACGACGGACGTGAGGGGTGCTAATACCTTCCCCTTGCGTAACCGACTCCCGAACCCAGGTTTTGGTTGCGATGACCATACCTTTTCCCCGTTTTTTGCGAGGTTTACTTCGAGCGTTTCCTTTCCCGCTCTGAGGGATAAATAACGCACGGTGGCGACTCTTCTGTCAGCCGGCGCCGATTTTCGCAGTAGCGACAAACGGCACTGCGAATTTCTTCAGCAGATGGGAGAGACGTTAGCAACAAATTAATTTGATCAGTCACTAAATTCGGAATAACATCCTCTACCAGCGAATTGTCCTGCAAAATAGAAGGATTGTCAAATAAATTCTCAAAGTGAGAAACTACATGGTCTGCGATCAGATTTTGATTGTTGGTGGTGACCCCATCAATTTTCATAGTGTGAATGAGATTTGATGAGTTTCTGGTTTTAGTGATCCTGTGAAAATATTTCGTGTTTCGGTCCCCGTGTAATTGCCAATTAACACGAGCTTTATCTTTCTAAAAGAGCTCCTCAGTATTAAGAGCCTGTTCCAGCCGAGCTTGCGCCACTTTCTCTTGTTGAGCCAAAACATCAGTATGGCCATCTGTGTGAATTTGATACTGAATACTTTCAAGATCTAACTCAGCCTTTTCGACATTGTCTTGCACATTTCCAAAACACTCTTTGTTCCACACCTTAAGTTTCTCCTTGAGCAATTTTAACTTTGCTGCCAGAACGAACATCGAACAACCAACATAATTAGTTTTCCAAGCATCTTCCACCACTTTAATGCATTCAGGATGCGATGTCCACATTTGCATAAAACGAAAGTGAGATTAGAACTTGAACTCTTGAAAGTTAAAGTGTAATAAAATGGGGTAATGATCAGACCGGGATTTGTTAAGAGTGGAGCAGGAAGATTGAGCACACAAACTAACCAAATCCTGATTGCAAATAACTCGATCCAGCCGTTTACGAGTATGCTGCCTACCCTCTCTACCATTAGCCCAAGTAAACTTAACCCCAACAGTAGGCATATGGACCAAATGATTGAAATCTTTCCAGTCAGCAAACTCCTCCATCGGGCCTCTCGCAGGCCTAAAAGAACCATCATACTCGTGAGCACCAAGTATAGTGTTAAAATCACCTATGAAACTCCAAGGCATTTGATAAGTGTGAAGAATATTCTGCAGAGAACTCCATAGACTTCTGCGTGTTATGTAGCTGGTAGATGCATAAACGACCAAGATACCAATAGAAATGCCATTAACCAACACAGTAAAAGAGACCTGTTGGTCATCTATATGAATCACGTTTGGATTGATGCTAGAATCACATAAACACTAAAGGTTTGGGAGCAAAGATTCCCTACTATTTACAACGAAGAACTTAAGATTTAAACTACGAAGCCAAGACATTGAGAAGTTATCCTTATCCATCCACGGTTCCGCGATAAAAATGAACTGAGGTTTGTAATTCAAAACTAACCTTTTTAGCGCCAATTTTGTTGGAGAGTTGGCTAAGCCTCTCGCATTCCAAAATAAACAATTCATGGGGTATTAGACGCACTACCAGGCCTAGACCTTGTCTTGTAATTACCTCTCGAAGCATTTTTTTTCTGCATCTTTCTCTTGGATTTAGACTTCACTTTCACAAAGCCATCGTCGTCTACCCCCAAGGGGTTCAAAATATTATCACCAATGCCTTGCTTTACCATCTCCTGTTGGACCATGTTATTCCAAGAAGCATTGAGACTTCTTCAACTGAATTCCTTTGTGTATTGCCAATACATTCTGCACCTGTAAAATTGTTTTCCGCCTCACTGACCAAAGCCAAGGTTTTATCTATGTCATCTGCCACAACTACTTCATCCACTGTATTAACAACTTTCAGAATACCCGAAGGACCACCAATGTTCACTTGGTTCTGATTGTCTTTGTCATGGCTATTCTCTACTGCAGTATGAATCTGAGACATATCTATCGGCTTTATAATGGTCGGCTTATTAATAGGCACCTGAACAAAGTTGTGTTTCTTAGAATTATTTGGCTTACCAGCATCTGCTTCGTCTACTGCTTTTTGTTTCTGTGCACCAGATTCGCCTTCGTCTCCACGATGTTTACATTTTTCCAAAGAGTGACCAATACTATTGCAGTGTTTACAAAACTCCGGAAGGTTTTCGTATTCGAGATCAACAAAGAACGCAAAACCTGATCTTTCAACTAAGACTTTATAACAAATATCAGAGTTCAAATCCAAATCCACTAAGACTCTAACAAAGTGGCCAAACGGTCTTTCAAAACAACACATATTAGATGCATAATCAGTACACAGTGGAATCCCCAGACTACTTGCAATTGCAAAGATGATTTTCGGCCTCCAGTACTCCTGGGACAAACCATGGATGCGAATCCACACTTGAGCTGACGATTGCTTAAGGATGGAAGGCTTAAAGTCCTTTGTCCATGGGAACAACTTAAGGAAACCTGGGTTTAAGTTCCATGATGAAATGAACCTTACACGCCTGACATCTTCAAGAGTGGAAAACGAGAATTCGTAATACCCTTTACCAAGGGAGGTAATGCCCCATTTCTCAATAGATTTCCAAAGATTCAAAAGTTTAGTTTTGAGGTTTTGAACTGTCAATGGTGTGGATCCCTTAGGACAGATAATCCTACCGTATAGGTTGTGTTTGCAAGACTCCACACCCAGCAGATACTCCTCCTCCAGAATAACAATGGACAAACGGTCCCCTTTTACACAAGGCTTTGGTAGCTGACTTACCGGAATATCACAGACGTTATTCACCGCATCTGCAAACGATTTAGGAGGTTTGGATGAGGACGCCATCAACTCTTCGTGCGCTTTCAGCTTCACACCTGAACATTCTTCTTCTAGATCTAAAAACTTCCACGGAACAATTGGTTCCCTCATCACGCGAACTGAACTACAATAAGTATGTTGTTCTATTCGTTATTGAGTGACTAGAATTTCAATCTTTATAATTTTTTTTTGAGTGACTAGAATTTAGTCAAAAATATTCAAAAAAGACATAGACAATTAGTCTTTGTGGTTGTAATTAAATTTGACTATGATAAATTATGTCATATAAGACAAAATCACTTAAGCAAATACTTAAGATAGTTTTGTTAACGTATTAGAATAAAAATAATTGTGTTTATTATTTTTGTTTTTGGCTTTCTCATTGTTGTTTTGAATAGCAAAAGTTTTATTTTTAAAAATTCAATTCAAACTCTCCTTTTTTATGCTTTCATTATCTATACATTTTTTTATGGTCTTCAATAGAGTGTCTAACTTGATCTGTTATTAGAGTCCAAATGACACGTTTGTTTCTCACCTCATTGGTTTTTCTTCTTCTATTTATACTATTTGTTTAGTTTATTTGTTATAGATTTTAGTACATGACGTGTCAATCATCTGTGCATTTGTATTATACATTATATGTTGCAATCAAATGGTATGTGCAATTGTAATCATTGATCTATGCAGTCAAATTGCTACTTGTAATATATGGATCATCTTGGAGATAAAGAGTAAATTGATTTATAAACAATAATAATGAATATATTTCAATGAATTATTTGTTAAAATCATTTAAATTAAAATTAAGTTAAACCATGTAAATATATTCAACTTATTTATAGTTATAACAACATCAGATACAAATATGCGAGTTTAAACCCGCCACATGTCACTTTATTTATCTTTAAAAGGTAAATTTTATTCACTATATTACTTAACAGAAAAAAATAATCAAACCTATTAAATATATTTTAGTAAATGATTTATGATTAATATGATGTATTTTATTAATTTTTTATTGATTGAATTATTTTTAAAGTATTACTAACTTGGTTCGATTTATTTTTAATTATTTTTATATTTTTAATATAATTGATTATTGCAAATTTTAAAATGATAAATTTTAATATATTATATGCATGAAGCTTATTACTTTAATGTGTTTTCCCAATATAAAAATATTAAAATAAATTTTAGAGTTATAACCCAAATTTCTAAAGTTTTTATATTAAATATTATTATTCCAAAATATCAAATGCAACAATGTGGATTCACGTCAAAAACATCTTACTTATCCATCTTTAAAAGATAAATTTGTCACTAAATTATTTTAAAAAAATTAAATTGTATTGTGTTGGATTTTTTTAGTTTGACTCATTCAAACATAATTTTTTTTCTTCACAAAATCATTTAAACCGCCGCAAACAGCATGAAAGAATAGTACCGAATTAACAACTGTGAACACTTTGACAAAGCAGAGCCGGAAACTTGGTAGTTAGCTTCATAGAAAAAATGACTTTGCTTAATTTGCACTTTGGTATCTTTGAATCATTCGACACAAATCACACCTAGAAACCATGTTTTTCAAATCCATCATCATCATAAATTTATTGCTATTTTGAAGTTTTCGTAACACTGCTTTTAAAGATCGTCGCCAAATAAATTTCAACCATGCAGGCATAGATTAGATAACTATTCTACGTTTTACAAATTTGACATAGACAACCCTTGCTACCGCCAAGAACCACTATAAATATGGAACTAACTTTAATTTGATAAACCACACCAATCTTCACAAACATAAACACTAGAGCTAGCTAGCTTACTGAAACTTCTTGGTTAGTAGAGGATTTAGCTAATGGCTCCTTTAAACTGTTCTAGATTAACCATGATCATGAGCATGACTCTCTTTGTCCTCATCATAGTAGGGAGTGTCAATGCACAACTTTCTACAACTTTTTACTCAACTTCTTGTCCCAAACTCTCTTCCACAGTGCAATCCACAATGCAATCTGCAATATCAAAGGAGGCTCGGATTGGTGCTTCAATTCTTCGATTGTTCTTTCACGATTGCTTTGTCAATGTAAGTAAAAATGAGAAAAAAAGTACTACCAAATAGAATAATGCTATATCGCGAATCTAATGAGTAAATTATATCTCTTACTTGCAATTGTAGGGATGTGATGGATCCATCCTACTCGATGACACATCAACCTTTACCGGAGAGAAGAATGCAAACCCAAATAGAAACTCAGCTCGTGGATTTGAAGTCATTGATAATATAAAAACAGCCGTGGAGAATGTATGTCCCGGAGTCGTATCATGTGCTGATATCCTTGCTATTGCCGCAGCAGACTCCGTTACACTTGTAAGTATAGTCCTATACTCCTTCTGTTTCAAAATGATTGTCGTTTTAGAAGAAATATTTTGTTTCAAAATGAATGTCATTCCCACTTTTTAATGCAATAATAATTGTTATTTTTCAATAATTTAGCTTGGAGGTCCGTCGTGGAATGTAAAACTTGGAAGAAGAGACGCTAAGACGGCGAGTCAGTCTGCTGCTAATACAGCCATCCCAGCACCAACTTCTAACCTTAATACACTCATCTCAATGTTTGCTGCAGTTGGTCTTTCCACCAAGGACTTAGTCACGTTAGCAGGTATAGTTACTTTGATTTTGATTAGGGGTGGTCATGGATGGTTAATGTCCAAAACCAATCTATAACCATAAATAATCCATATATTACAATCGGTTATTAAAACCAATTCTCCGGTTTTTATTTTTTAAAATGGTTATAAACCGGTTATATCAACCAATTTTATAATTAGTTTTGATTTAATTTATTTTTAAATTGATTTTTTCAAAATCATAATATTGTTAAAAATAACTATTGTTTTTTTTAAATTCATAATTTTCCGTCTCTAAATATTCAAAATCATAATTATTATTGTTTAAATTCATAATAATTATTATTAAAATTCATGAATGAAAAGTTCATTCAATTCCTTCATTATTAAATGAAAAGTTAGTTAATTGAATGAATTCAATTTAACTATTAGTATATATTATTTCATCTAATTCATCTCCATATTTAAAAAATATTAATTTAATTTTATATTTTAAATTTATTAAACCAATTTAACAATTAAATAATAATATTAGTTACAGTTACTCCAATCTATCTATTTTTTCTTTTCTATATAATTCGTTGATTTGTAATTAGAAATATGTGTTATTAAAAAATAATAATAATTTAATATTTAAATATGATTTTTGTATATAAATTACAATAAAAAAATAAACGGTTGTTGTCGTTTGAACAGTTATTGGATTAAATTAAAATTCTTATTTGAGATGGTTAAAAACTAAAAAATAAAATAAAAAAAATATGATCTAAATTTGCATTGATTGAATTAAACGACAAGTCTATTTTGATTATAGATAAGATATTTTTTCTTTTTGTAGTCATTTAGTTTGTGTGAACTGCAGAACTAATTTAAATAAAGAAGGACAGAGTAAATTAGAATTTTAATTACTATTGTTATTTTAACAATATTATGAATTTCAAAATCATAATATTCAAAATCATAATTTTTGGTTATGAATTTTAAACAATAGTTATTTTAAAATTCATAAAATTTTTATTTACTGAAAAAAATTAAAACAATATTTTTTTTTCAAAATAAAAATATCTTTTTTTTGAAAAATATTTTCAAAGTTTTTTTTTAATTAAAAAAAATTGACTAATTTGGTTTTTATTTTGGATATGGATGTCCAAATTATGGATTTGGTTAAAACCATATTAAAAATATATCCAAAATGTGGATTTGGTTAAAACCATACTAATAATTAACCGGTTTTTAATAACCGGATTTAGATATGGATATGGATTTTTTAAATAACCGGTTTATTTGAACACCCCTAATTTTGATGAAAAATATATCTAAAGTTTGGGGAAATAATTTCTCAACTATGAAGGAATGCATGATTTTCAAATACTTAATTTTATTAATTGAGTAGGTGGTCACACAATTGGACAAGCAAGGTGCACAACGTTTAGGACAAGAATCTACAATGAGAGCAACATTGATACTTCTTTTGCTACTACGAGACAATCAAACTGTCCAAATGCAGCAGGATCTGGGGATAACAATTTGGCACCTCTTGATCTTCAGACTCCCATTTCCTTTGATAATAACTACTTCAAGAATCTTGTTCAGAAGAAAGGTCTTCTCCATTCAGACCAACAGCTTTTCAACGGCGGATCTACCGATTCTATAGTGAGTGGATATAGTACTAATCCAACCTCTTTTTCATCTGACTTTGCTGCTGCTATGATCAAGATGGGGGACATAAGTCCTCTTACGGGATCAAATGGAGAGATTAGGAAGAATTGTAGAAAACCAAACTAATCTTTAAGTTTAAATTAATATTATGGGTCTATGATATACGCATACAAAATTAATATTTTTTGTTTGGATAGAACATGTGGCGTGCAATAAGTTGTTAAACATGTTTTCCTCGTCTTTTGTTTCAATGTACTTTAAAGAGTTATGTATCTTTGTTTTATTGCGCGTGTTTCTCTATTTGAAACATTGTAAGAAGAATTATTATTTTGCTTATCCACAAGTTTGTTTGTGTTTGTATTTACAAAAGGGTTTAAAGTAGTACATTATTAGAGTTTGGCCTAACTCAACCCTACAAAACCAGTTGGTAAAATGAGGGGTGTCATTCTATATAAACTATTTTAATGTTCTATCTCCAACCAACGTGGGACTTTAGGATCTTCCTAACGTGCACTGTCAGTCTAAGACAGTTTTACATTTTATTCTGATATATGATTATGATTGATTGACAGTGTAAAGTATCTCTCACTCGTCTAATCATGGAAAATATGGAGTAACACGTTTTTTTGAGTAGAGAGAAGTCAGAGTCAATATCTGATTCAATCCTTCCAAGGAAGTAAGGATACAACGATCATTACTTTGATTGAGTGGGCAGTTATCAATCTCAAGGAAAACCTAGGCTCAAGGACCTCTATAAATATTCCTCTCATAATGGGAGAAAGAAATATCCTAACTTAACGACATATCATATAATACTCAGAGCCTTTCACCTCACGTGACCTGGTCTTTCATACCACTATGAACGTCATAAATACCACCATACATAGTCTCTCGTCGCCGCGGGCAGACTCAAAATTTTATAAATCTACTAAGGCCTTTGAGTATCTCATACCTTTATCGAGATACCACACACACTTGTACTTTTTGACCCGTACAGAGGCGTCCATTATGGGGCCTCAATATAGTTAACCTAGGTCGCACCTCTTTTCTTCATTATCTTTTCCATTTGCATCGAGGATGGCTTACAAAGCTCCACATTTCAGGGTTAACACCATAGCTTGAGGTTTCATTGTTTTTATTGGAAAATTTAGTACACAAGCGATAGTCTCTTATAAAAGATTACTTGTAGGACATAATGCATAAACTCTTTATGAATTTTGTGTAGGAATGTAAAGGTTTTCGATGTGGTCGAAATCGTAATGAAAAACTTATGCAAATTAGAATGAATTACTGGAAAAAGTAAAGGATTTCGATAATGACAAAAACTTTGTGAAAAGATAAAGTAAAGTGAACAGAAAATGGCAATAGAACGAAAACAGGATTAAGAAAATAAATTAAAGAAAAACTTTTCATTAAATGAAATGGTGTTTGGAATTATACATTTCACTTAGATAACTCGTTTCTGGCTTTGCTTGAGTGCTTTGAGTCTGTGAGTTTTTGTAGTAAATTCAACACATTGAATCCTAACACTAGAACTCTTATTTATACTAACGTCAAATAATTGTTTGTAATGTTCTTCTCTTCATAAATTGACATGTAATGATTGCATTCTTTTTGCCTCTGAAATGTCTTTCACGTGTCCCTTTAGATAAGACAAAAAAGTAGTTACTTGCTTTGGAATTATTTCTTCTCGGAAGCTGCTACTCGTTGATGTGTCTGCTGACAAATGAAGTCAAAATACTGAGCAATGTTATCGTCAAAATCTTGGACTAAATCTCTTTTCAGAAAATACTAAGTCCCAAACTCTATCTCGTCCCTGAGACTTCAACTTCCTCAACTGGTAATATTCGTCGAAATTCCCTTTTTACCTTCCAACTTTCTCTAAGTTTTTTCTCATTGTGCTGAGATTTGATCTTGTTGAAAATCCTAGCTAACAAATTGCCCTCCCAAAAATTCCACTTTCGACTAAAAGAAGATATGGGTGTTTTTTTACTTCCTTGACATTGTTTCACCTTGTGGTTTGACATCATTAACATCATGGCATTTCCATCAACCGTCACCTCGAAAACGTGCAATCCTTATAACTTTAATCATTGCTCTTATTTTTTAGGACGACGTGGATCTGTACACGAAACCGTTCAATCTTTCCCTCTAAAAACTTGGCACGTGTTAGAAAAATTGGCGCCAATTGTCATGGAAAAAAACTGATGAGTCTTTCTCACATATTATAAATACATTTTCCAGACTTCTTCTTCTCTTTTCTGCCTTCCTTTGCAAAAAGCTTCCTCTGAAACCTTTTTTCTTCAAAAATCAATTTTATCATCTAAAACAATGACTATGTCTTCCAAATCCAAAAGCTCAAACGAACCCGAGTATTATTTGCCTCTTGCTACCATACTGGAAGTTGTCATTCTTGCTGAAAATCAAGAGTATGTCCCAGAACCACCAAATTAAGAAGAAAAGCTTTGCATATACAAATCCCACGTATTGATTCCTTACTCAATTTCTGGTAAAATTCAAGCACTTATGGGTCCATTACCTAACCCTTCAGTGGATGTTATTCAGCTGAGAGAATATTTTGTCTCCTACCACCGTACTAGACCTATAATGAGTCTAAAAAAATCCATAGATCTAGAGTATATGACTGACTCTCTATGTGTCTTCTGTTCCGCCCCTTCGCCCAAAAGAAATGAATACTACAATTCTTAGTTCAATAAGATTGAAACCAAAAAGGCCAAACCTGGAAAGATCAATGGATTTGTAGCTTAGTCCAATTATCGAGGGTTGGTCCTCCTTATAACAAAAATATGCTTGTCGCAACTTTATATATTTGGGAAAGTAGCACTAATACATTCCAAATCCATTGTGGAATGATTACGCCTATGCTTTTCGATGTAGCGTCCATCATTGGCCTCCGCCCAACCAGTGATATTTTTGACCCCACTGAAAGAGTTGAGGATACCATTAACTTCAATACCAACCATGCCACGTTTGAGAAATACATCAAAGACCACCATGATAATGCCAATAATGAAGTGTCTGATGAAGAACATATTGCTTTTTTAGCAATATGGTTGTCAAGATGTATTTTTTGATGAAAATCCTTGAAAGTATCCAAAAGATATTGAACTTTGGCTAACCAATTGCACGAAGGATTAAAATTTTGTCTAAGTCAATTGATATTAGGTTCTCTTTATGAATCCTTATGGCTAGCCATTTAAACCCTAACAAATCTTAAACCCAAAGATAATCTATTATTAGCTGGACTTTACTGGGTTCTCCAACTTTGGTTACCAACCAAATTTGGTGTCTCACTAACTCTAGAATTAGCCAAACTTTGCCTAAGTCCTTCTTCAGTCGAAAGAACAAACTTTGCCTTTGCACTGTCGAATACTCAAAAATTGAATATGTTGAGTGCCTTGACCGACATGATGTTAATCGTGTTATTCTTACACCTTTTACTTTTCACCCAACTTTCTATTGCACCAAAGAGTTGGACACTTGGTGGAGATCCTACCATACAAAAAAATTCCTTGAGGTTTCAACATTATCATAATATTTAACAGATGTTTTCTCTTTCTTGCAAAAGAAGTTCCAAAAAGGTAGAGACAAACATATCAAAGAGATCCCAACTTTCCAACACTATTTTGAAACTGTGTATGACCCCGATGATCTTAGTTTGACTATTTAGGAAGCAGCAGTCACTCTATAGGAAAAGATGATGGCAAAAACCAAGCCATTTCCGGCAAACACTATTCCCCTGAATTTCACAGTAATAAGAAGAAGCCAAAGATCGCTGGGGCTGGCTCTAAAAAGATTATACCTAGTCCAAAAGTTGCTTCTACCCCTAAGGCAAAGAAGGAGAAACGGGAAAACTTAGGAAAAGACAAAAAGGAAATTAAAATGACAAGAAAGCTTGTTTCTGCTGAACATGAAAGTGGCAACTCAAACCCTGTTGTAGATACGTCCAAAGTGAGTTTACTTTTAGCTATCACTCTCTTTGCTAAAATAAATCTCCAAAGATTAATGCCCAAATTTATGTATGATAACCCTTTAACAAAACCCATTTTGAGTATCAAATACATCATACCTTAATCCATAAGTTCTCCTTCAATCTTTCCCACTGCCATCAAGGAATCTACTGAGGAGGTTAACCAACCTACAAAATCATATGCGAATACTCCCCATGAATCGGCTACCAAGGGTCATACTCGTGAGAAATCTTCTTCGACGACTAATAGCGAAGACAAAAATCAGGTGGACATGGACTATGCTCCCCAAGATAATGTTCTTGAGCAAGAAGAAAATAAGATGACTCTCCTCTTAGTGGCCAGAATCAAAGTGATGATCCATAAGTTACCAACTTTGACAAAACTGAGAAACCACCTTTAAAGACTGTGTCATAGACTAAAAAGGATACTGTAAAAACTTTGACTGCCAAGCCAAATCCATCACCAAACATTTCTTTATCTCGAGAGGAATTGTCAGAGATGAAAAAGACGAATACATTATCCTATTTGAAACTGATGAGGAGTACCCGAAGTATTTCGACTAACAAATGCTCACATTCTTCAACAATCTCTGGAGGCAACACTTCACTTGAGACTGTTGATAGGGTGCTTAAACAATTGAAGTCCAAACTTACAGAAGGTGACTTGTTTGAAGCTCTTGAAAAGAACTTCATCCATGATTATGGGATCAAGTCGTTACTAAAGAAACTTGATATCCGTAATGCCCCCAGTGATGTTGTAAATTTGGTGGTAGCATTTGGCCCTCTCTTCGACCAGATCATTGTTGATTTCTAGAGAAAACACGAGGCACAAACTAATTTAAAACCTACAGAGGACACTTGGTCGAAGGATTAACGTTTGGATAGTGAATCCAACAGTCAAGCTTTGCAATTGAAAGATACCCTTCGCAAATAGGATGAAGATGTTGCTGATTTGGATGTTAACATCCTCAAATGGAAAAATGAAATTAATTACAGTTGAAAGTGAAAAAAGATGAACTCACAAAAACTAAACTTCGTAAGGTAAGTGAAGAGAAATTGGATGAAGAAGCCTTAGTTGGGGTCCATCATCTTGAGAACGTTGGTAATTTGGATGCTGAAATTGAAAGTCTTGCCT